GCTGCTTCCTATGCCCCTGCCCTAACATAACATTGTTTTGGCATTTTTTAAAAATATTTCAGCTTGGAAAACCAAAGGCAATGAAAAAGGTTAAGGACTGGTCAGCTCATATTATTACCCACTTTTGGCATTGTTCCAGCGCATGCAGAAAAGACCAGACACTCCAAGGTGGATGTGTTCAAATGAGTTAGATTGAGCGACTGCACCTAGTGGGGTAGAGCACTCCCCCCACGCAAGCGCCCCCCCGCAGATATTTGTATCTCTGTAGCAGCATTTCTTGCATTTTGAATGCATGTGTGACTCATTTTAACCTCAATTTCAACATTATATTTTGCTATAAATAATTTTAATATCAACCAAATATTAATTAAATGTACTAGTGAACTATTTAAGTATCACTTGTTTACTTGTTTTTTGACATATGTGACTTGTTGAACTGCCAAGTAACTTTCTTGGAGTTCTTTACTACTTCATCTGTTGGCTTGTACTCAAAACATGGGGCAGTGGAATTCATTTTTATGGTCATGATAGCACTAAGGGTTCTGTTTATGTCCAGGTTTCCTCTGAAGCATGTTTTGTTCGTTCTGACAAGACTAAATGCTCTTTCCTCCTCTGCATTGCTATGGGGCAGTACTAACACCAACTGAGCTACTTTACTAAGATGCTGGAATCTTGGATAACCACTAACTTTCAAATTCCCTAAATGACCCCATATAACATCCATACGAAGGCTGTCAATTTCGTCATCTTCATCAAGTCGTAAAGTGGCAGCCTCTTTAACTTGCTTAGGTAGGTCAGTGTCATTCATCATCTGATAATCAACACGGTGGGCATAAAAGACAGCAAATTTGGCCAAGTACATATAACTTTCTCTCATTAGTTTGGAATATCACGAAACTCCCTCACAGGATAGAACTTAACATTCCTAGAAATCGTATGTTTTTTGTTTTTCGATTTTGTTACATTTTGGCGGGAAGATGACGTGCCAACTTTGGCGCCAAAAAAATAAACACAAGCTAAGAACACGCTAGTAACTTTTTCGAAAAGATTGTCCTATAAGGATCTCAAAATTGTAAAAACATTAAAAATACAACAAGGCAGTGCGAAGATATGGCGATTCAAAGTTCGAAAAAAATCTATTTTTAGTAACAAAATGGCTGATTTTTCAGTAAAAATAAAACTTTGAATCGTCATATCTTCGCACTGCCTTGTTGTATTTTTAATGTTTTTACAGTTTTGAGATCCTTATAGGACAATCTTTTCGAAAAAGTTACTAGCATGTTCTTAGTTCGTGTTTAATTTTTTGGCGCCAAAGTTGGCACGTCATTTTCCCGCCAAAATGTAACAAAATCGAAAAACAAAAAACATACGATTTCTAGGAATGTTAAGTTCTATCCTGTGAGGGGGTTTCGTGATATTCCAAACTAACGAGAGAAAGTTATATGTACTTGGCCAAATTCGCTGTCTTTTATGCCCACCGTGCAATAAACTCATCATACAGGATTTCATGTTGTCTTGCATTAAAGTTGAAGATATGTTGATACCTAAAATGAGATATATTTTTTAGCCAAAGTTTACACCTTGTACATGTCAGTTTCACCAAACTTTCATAGCTCTCAACTCTGTATATTACTGTACATCAATGTACCTTAACATTATTCGATATTTGACTTATTGGTAATTGAAGTAGAGACTTACCTTTGCGACTTGTTCAAAACTGCCAGAGACTCTCTTCTCCCAGTTGACAAATTGTGCATTCTTCAATGTTTCATCACCTAATGGAAGATTTTTCAACATATACTTGGCTGCTGCAATATAAAATTGGCGTACAGCAGTGTAGAACTTTTTAGCTTGTTGGTCAGAAATGTCACCATCTGCAAGACACTTGTTAAGTTGCATTCTTGTTGTAATGCCGACAAAAAGATCTTTATCACTTCTCTGGTTTTCTAAGACACACATTAAATCACCTGTGGTATCTTTTAAGCATGCTTCCAATTTGTCAACCTTAAGCAACTTGCCGAGGATCTTTTTATAAATACTCCAACAGCCTTCATAGACCAGGAAAATACATGGATCCGACCTCTGCAACAGTTGGTTAAAACACGTAAAACTGGGTAGCACAGCTTGGTAGAAATACAGGTAAATTTCTGTCATTGGGTCTTGGAATAACTTTTTCAATCTCTTGAATCTTGCTTGCTGCTCTGCATTCGACAAAAAGTAGGATTTGAGAGGGCTGTACTGCTTCAAAACACGCTCCACTGCAGATTCCAAGCTAAGCCATCTTGTGCTTACATGTTTAATGACCTGTCTGTATTGAACATCACAAAAGTCACAGAAGTCCGATAGAAGGTTCTTTCTCTTAGAAGAGTGTTCAAACCAGTAGAAAATGTCAACACACAAATCATCAGCAGAGAAGTTCACTATCTCTTCAAATGCCTTACCTCCATAAAAAGCTGTGTTGTGTAAAATATGACAAGGGCAACCCATGAAATACACTGTATCATTAGCATCCTCTACCCTTGTTTTTATGGAGTTGTGCCTTCCAACGTTCACAGATGTATTGTCTACAGACATTCCAACACAGTAATCCCAAGGTATATCATGTTTATTTAGAACTTCATTCATCTTGTCATAAATGGCTTGAGCAGTGGATGCAGTTGCTGAACACATATCCAGAAATCGACCTTCTACTTTGTGAGTGTTAATGTCAAATAAACGTACAGTAAGTGGATTCATCTTCTCCAAATCATTGTCACTGGATCCATCAATTGCCAAAGAAAATGGCCCATTCTTCATCTGTGATACCAGTTCTTGCTGCATTGGTGGAGCTATGGCATCATTAATTATACAATTTGTCTTTGTGTGAGCTGAAGCATAGTTCTTTGCAATAGTACTATCAGGAAACATCTGCCTGAATAGTGGACCCAAGTGGTCAGACACACTGATGGGTAAGTTATGTTCTACAATAAACTTAGCTGCCAAAACTTCTGCCTTTGATGTATTAAACAGCAAAGTGTTTGTGCTACTGGTAGCTAAATTTAATATAGGTTGATTTCTTAAGCTCCTCTCCCACCTTTTATGGTCTTCCCCGTCCTTGTGCCTAATTACATCTCTCTCTCCCTGATGTTTCACACTCACTTCTTTCTTGCAAACATTACAATAAAAGGCATGTATATTACCGTGGACTTGACGAAGAAATGTTTTATATTTGACGGTCCATTCGTTCTGAAAAGTCGATTTATATCTTGCAGCTCCAGTAAACTTTCGACAAGAAGACTTAGAAGTCGTTGGGAGACTCGTTTGAACTTCGTTTTCATCATTCGTTTCACTTTCTGCTTCGGTTTCACTTTCTGTACTGTCAGCCATGTTGTCATATTCAACATTCGCTTCAACACACGTGAGAGCGTGAGATAAGTTTAGAATGCGTGAGTCTCACGCGAGATGCGTGAGACTTGGAGTGTCTGAAAGACGAGACAACCTCTGATAAAGAAGCATTAAAGATTATGAAGGTATTGTTATTTTTAATCATCAATTGTCATACTTCTATGTTGTTTTTCTACCAACATGTCAGATTGTCAAGCTCGAAATTTTTTTACTGTAATTCTTTATAGGATATGTGGATTGGTTTACTCCATCACATCTGCAATGAGCATGAATGGATAGGTGGTGAATGTGAACATGATGAGAATCTGCCATGGTTCGATCATCGGGATAAGGATTTTGTAGAATTACAAAAAGTCATCCTAAACCCCGAATTACTTGGCAGTTTCAAGTACTATACCCATTTCCGGTAAGAAAGCAGGTATTTACAAGTGAAATTAGCTTTACTGCCAATTATGTATATTTTTTAAACTTTTATAGACACACTGGTGGCATTGAATGTGCAAACAATCTTGGCTTGGTTTACACCCCTAAACGAACACCATTTAGGTATTATTATGCTTTTTTAGCCAGAAATATATATGAAAGCATTGTGCCAAATTATGTAATATGTGAATCTAAAAGTCATTTAACCTGTACCAAGACGTAATGTTCCTTTCAGTTATAGAGTTTATAAAGCTCGACGTCAGCTGGCAGTCATTGATTGGAATTTCCATCTCAACCTTCCACAAGCAAAATTACAGTCTGGCGAATGCATGGTCACCCGAAAGTATAATCCTAGGACCAGGCAGTGGGACATAAAAAAAATCAAAGTTGCCAAGGGTTATGAATACATCCCAGTGCTGACATCTAGAGTTCTCAGGAGCAGAGCTGATGACTTATCAGGGAATGTCACACAGAAAGTTGCCCTAAACACAAGTGATCCTGGTCTTATTTCCATGACAATTGCCCATGTTCCACCACCATCTACAAAAGAAATTGCGGAGCGAAGAAGCCGATTCAAAAAATAGTAACTGGAACAATCCCTGGAGACCACCAAGCCCATGGTTGGGGGCTTGAGTTCATGAGTTGTTGAGTTGTTTGCCTCCATGACCCCTAGAGCTATGCCGGCTGGAGCATAAGCTCCTGGCAGGGTCACCCATGCTGGACAGGTCAAAGGGTAGAGGCAATCAACTAGTCCGGCGTATGGGAATAGCAACAGAAGAATGTAAATATTGAAAATATCAATTATTCTTATCACATGAAGATATATATATATATATCCCATTAAGCACCAGCGCTCTCCCCTTGACGAGTAAAATCGTCTGGCGTTAGACAGAGTAAAATCGTCTGGCGTTAGACAGTAAAATACTAAAGTAGGGTGCATCAGGGTGCAATGCAACTCAATGGGTTAACTAGATACATGGGCAGATAGGCCAGTTAACCCATTAAGCGGCAGTGCTCTCCCCTTGACGAGTAAAATCGTCTGGCGTTAGACAGAGTAAAATACTAAAGTAGGGTGCATCAGGGTGCAATGCAACTCAATGGGATATATATATATATATATATATAATATATATATACAGTACAGTATACAGTACACTAAATTAACAAAATACAATTTCAGTTTTCCTTATACCCCAATTTGTCAACCAATAGCCATAAATAAATAAGTCCCTGACTTCAATCTCAATAGATTCAGTGCTCCCTAAAGCCCATATACACTCCTGTGACAGATGGATATCGTCCCCGTATTTTTAACACAACACAAGATGGGCAAACCCTTCTATTTCCCTTTCCGAGGTGGCCATGACGTGCTAATACAAACTGTCTGTATCCAGCTTTTCTAAATGCTCGGGTACTATTATCCTCCTGATCGTTGCGAATGTCCCCAGTGTTTCGAATACATAACTCCAAAACATCTGGGTCTAAGCATATTTTAGCAAACCTTGAGGTTAGTGTAATACAATTTTTTGTCTGCAGCATTTATTTTCTATCTCCTGTGGCATGGGTCTACAATATCCACATACACACCAGTCTGGTGCTGATGTAGGCAAGTGGTTGTGTGGTTCAGGTGGGCCTGCTGAGCTATGGGGTTGATCTTTATCGTTACGCAGCTCTCCTGAATCTTCCTCAAATGCACCCATATCCTCATCATGTTCTGTCTGATCAAGGTCATCCTCCATTATTAGGAGGGTATGGATATAATCCATACTTCCAATACCCCTCCTGAGGCCCCGAACAGCTAGCTTCCTCACCATCGCTTCATCCAAAGTGGCAATAAAGTCCTAAAATACATGAATACAGTACCTATCAAATTAGATTGATTAAACCTAAGGATAAACATATATGGCTTCTCAGCTTAGAACTATTTGAATACTGTTTGCAGTACATTTTTGGTCTCTCACCATGTGTCCAAAAGACATGGTTAGAAAATTCAGTATAATATATTACACGTACAGTATATCTAATCAAATTTTACAACTACAGCACTGAGTTCAAAATGTAAACAAAGCGTTTGTTTACATTACGGACTTTACATGGCCTTTTACAAGGTTATTTGACAGCTACTGCATGTATATCATTTAATTTTAAAGAGATTTTCACTGCAAACAATATCACCAAATCTCAATCAAATAATCAATACTCAATATAGTAAACATACTGTATTTGTATACGTTTATAATATAAAAATATAAATGACTTAGCAAATTATGTCTTCTACAGGGAAGTTTAGCTAGGAAACTAAACAAACAGATCTCTGGTGCTCTACATACTTTTACATCTTCGTGTTCCTTTTCTCTTTGCGTTTCTTCGGAATCAGCCGATGGATGAAAAAGGCGAAATCCAGCTACCGACTTTCTTTGCGACGTAGTGCGAGCAGTGGGCTGTGAGTTCTCTCCTCGTTCCTGAATCATGATTTGTATATATAAAATGACTACAAAACGATTTGATTTTTTAACGAATCAAACTGTAAGCCAAATGAATGTATTGAAAACATATAATCGACAGACTAACCTTATTCGTACAAGGTTTATTTCGAGTGCCACATCGACAACTTGATGAGCACACGACATTTCGACCCTTGCAAGGGCATCCTCGGCTACTATTCTCCTTCCTTTTAGTACTACAAGAACTCTTGCATTCACAATACTCAACCTATGTCGTGTTCATGAAAGATCGATCAATTTCCCACAAAAATATATGTAAATTTATTCATGTTTTCTTACCGTATTCATATTACAGGAAGACATCATGCATCGCTCCTTGACAACTTTCCGACGTTTTCCGAATAATTTCCGAATATATTAGGTATGCGCAGAAAAGATGCGCAGATGGTGACATAGCTCCTTTAAGTAGCTAACACTATATGCATCAATTAGTAGCCGAGGCGAGACTTTTTTATTCATTAGTTTACTTAAAAAAACAGGTCGGTAGGTCGGAAAAAAATTAAAAAACACACTAAGTATATTTAAAATTGATGTTTTTACCTTCTAAACATTTAACTTCTACATCGAAAAACATGGCGACTAGTCTGGCTCCATATTGATTGTCACAAGATAACATATGAGCCAGCAGTACATAGAGTCAAAGTTTAGTTGGCGTGTACTTCTTGTCAGAACCCCATGCAATTAACTAAAATTAACTAAAATCGTAAAATTGTTGACATCCCGCACATTTTTTTTTATTTTTCACTTTCTCAATATTTACGGTCGGCGGATCCGTAAACATTGCAATGAATAAATAAAGCCTCGCCTGCTAAGGATCTTTCATTATTTATACTTGGAGTTGATGCGAAAGAACAATTGAGGAAATAAAATTTTATTTAACCTCAAGATGATTGTTAGTAAGTGATAACCTGCCTCGTACCAGGCGTCTGTAACGGACTACATGCAGAAAATAATACTTCATGTAAGCCTATGAATAGTATCAGGGCGAGGCATTGTTGGGATAGAGTGTTTGAGCAAGACAACGAAGTACGAACACGAAGACGTACTTGACAATTTTGCCCATCAGCACATTATCTTGTGCATACTGAACTTGAGGAGACTGGTTGTTGGTTAACGCGACTTCCATTATATATTCATGTCTCGCTGTTCATGAATATTAAACCTAATCCTTACCTTGACCCAGACAAAACAGCAAGATATAAAAGATACTGTCTTTGTACTTCTGCCTTTGTTCAAGGCCCTGTCACACTATTGCGTATAGTACTAGGGTATGCCAGCGTATGAAAAATATCACTCATATATGATGGAAAACGCTGACATACGTTAGGGGTACATTAGGCATAGGCTGTATACGTTTCAAGCACGGTCGTATACGGTGACACACGCTGGAATATAGCGAGGCAGAAAGCCTCGGCTTAAGCATGCTTAAATATTTTGTGCGTATTAGGCACACGCTGAATACACTAGAGGTACGCCAGATGTACGGTACCCATACGCTGGCATTTCAAAGGATTTTTGTGCGTATGAAAATCATTTCGTTAATTTTCATTCACTTCTCATACGTTCCTCTCATACGCAATAGTGTGACAGATACTTTAGAAGAAGTTCACGACGAATTTTGGCAAAATATTCAATTCCATATACGCCGTAATAGGATTCATGTCATGATTAGAATAAGGATTGGAGCGCAGAATAAAGACATACAGAAGGTCCACTCGAGTAACCGTTACCACGCCATGATTCATCATCAAAATACTGACGTCATGGGCCTGGAAGTCAGCCATTTCGAATATTTTTAGGGGGGTGAATGCCTCTCAAAAGCGCACTGGCTAGGCCCATGGCGTCAGCATTTTGATGACGAATTACGGTTACGCCGAAAACATTGGAAAATCATAGGAAAAACCAAGAAGCCGAGCTTCTGTGTAGTCTATTCTGTGACTGAAGTCAGCATTCATAGACAGCTTGATATGAACCTAGCTGGTTGAACAACCACCACTGACCCTAAACTCAGAGCAGAGCAGAGCAGAGCAGAGCAGAGCAGAGCAGAGCAGAGCA